TGTGAACGCTGAAATTTTTGCGAATTTTGTGTACGAATAGGGAGAAACGGTAGCTGTAAAGTTTGCATCTCAGCCCTAAAGCTAATCTTTAAGCTTCAGACTAGCATTTTAGTACCACTTTCGTCAAATACACTTTAAAATTATAAAACATAATTGTTTGGTACTTGACAAAATCGTTTATATTACGAAGAAAACAGCAAATAATTGCGTAAGAAGACCAGTTTTTCGTTTTATCACTTTCGAGATGAGATTAGCAACAGTGAAAAACGGTGAAGGCGTCTGGCCACAGGATTCATGTCATAACCCAAATGACAGGGCGACAGCGTTGTCGATTTGTGGCTAATTTTACAGCCCCAGTGAGAGAATTTCAAGGCGAGATAGGGCTAGAAACTTCATGTTTTACCTGATAAAGTGTATGGGAGAGTTCCTGACGGGCATTTTGCAGCTGTTCGCGCAGCATGAAACTGTTCAGCATGCATGCATCCCACTCGTCCTGTAGCACTTTCAGCAGCGATGGAATCGATGTTGATGTGATTGTGCGCGGCATTGCACTCGACAAATCAACTTTGAGCTCAATCAGCTGCAAAATGACAAATATGGCATAAGTCTGCATGAATGGAATTTTTAACAAAAGAGCAAAAAAAGAGAGTAATATAAAAGAGAGGTTCTAAAAATGGGAAGAAATGTTTCGGTCCATGAAGTTGTATACATTTCCTATCACAGCCACAACTGAACCTCGTCAGTATGACGGTTGTAGCAGGATGAAATGGGTTTTGAAATATTAATAAATATAATAATGAAGATTTTGCGCAATAAGAGATTAGAAGAGAGGTTGAACGAGTAGAAGACAAAAATTAAGTGAAAGGTTGGAAAGAAGGGAAATCAGCCCTGCATAACTTAAAATGTCTGACGCAAAACTACGCAAGCAAGCATCACGATTCACGAACTGTGTCTGTTCCAGCGCCAAATCTTTGCGATTCTTCGTCCCGGAGAGATGCGGGCATATGAAAGTTGCCAAAGTTAAATCAGGTGCTGGGTTTGAGCTCACTAATACCCACTTGGACGGGGAACATCCTCCTAAGATTTCAGCTGTCTAGCTTCTCAGATCCTCGAGTTATGAACTTACCCGAAAAAAATTTTGGCGGGCTCGTACGCGGATACCACACTTACCCGGGGCTGGGTTTGAGCTACAAATACCCACTTGGACGGGGAACATCCTCCTAAAACTTCAGCGTTCTAGCTTCTCACATCCCCGAGTTATGAACTTACCCGACAAAAATTCTGATGAGCTCGTATGCGGGTAACACGTTTACCCGAGGGCTGGGTTTGAGCTCACTAATACCCACATGGACGGGGAACATCCTCCCAAGATTTCAGCGTTCTAGCTTCTCAGATCCCCGAGTTATGAACTTACCCGAAAAAAATTTCGGCGGGCTCGTACGCGGGTAACACGTTTACCCGGGAGCTGGATTTGAGCTCACTAATACCTACTTGGACGGGTCCTCTGATAACGCTGGAACAGATATCGGTCCTTCCTTTTCGAAATTTTTTTATGCACAAAATGAAAACGGTTCTGTCTCCCTGACGTGGAAGAATACTAATTTACCATTGAAAAGGAATCAACAGATACTAGGAAGATCGCCTTTTTCAGCCGTGGAATCGACCGCATCCAAAAGTTTAAAGCAATCAAAAGATTCAAGAAAACTTCGAAAAAATCCACAAAAAACCCCGGTTTTTAAGCCCCTAAAAAACACAAATCCACGAAAACTTAGAAGGCATTCATGTTTTATCACTATTTTTTGAAG